GTGGGGGGGGGGGCAACCATGGCAAGTGGGACAAACAGGGGGTCTGAAGGAGTGTACTGGTGGGAGAAGCCAAGAGGAGAGAGCCAGGCCAACACCATGGACAGTGAGACACAGGAAGTAGATGTTGTCCATCTACATACACCAAAACACAAGAATGAAAACAGTTCCTGTTCTGGCCAAGCTGCCACAGCCAACAAAACAATAACCGACAGTTTCTCATTTTAGTTTTCTCTAACTGAATTTATAATTTAACTGCATTCATCTCTGTTACAATTTACAAACTCAGTTGTGTGGTTCGAACCTGGAAGCTTTAAATCTAAAACACTTTCAAGCTAATAAATATTAAATCTTTTGATTAAGGTCATTTTTATGACTCTGCACACAATCAGCAGCTTGGCCATGAAGTTATAACCACATATGGACAGACAAAAGGAAAACAAGTTAAATGAACCTTGAAGTGTATTTTCAAAATAGAATTATCAGTGAAAAAGAAAAACTAAAAAAAAAACTGTTGAGCAAACAACACAGAGTAAAATACTGGAGACAGTGAGCGAAGGCTTGGTAATGCAGTGGTGTCTTACAGGTCCAAAAAGATGTTTATCAGTAGCTTTTAAGGTGAAATAACTGAGCAAAGACAAATATTAAGATAAGACTTTTCATTACATTGGTGATAAAACATGTTCAGAGACAGAGTACGTACCTCGAATCCTCCGATGACGAGCAGAGCATTGATGTTATGGATCCTCATCTGTTCAGCAATCTTATCCAGATGTTTTGCTGGAAGAGTTCTACCACACAGAAAGGAAATAATCAAATACTTAAAAAAAATGTTCCATCTAACTTCTCTTAAGTTGTTTTTATTAAGAGCTGCTTTGAGACAGGGTACAACTATAATGATTTTATCTGATTACAATAGCTTCAGTAAGTGTCAGCCCTTTCCCGAGTGGACCCCCCCCCCCAAAACATTATTATTTACACAGGATGTAAGTCACTAAAATCTACAGTACAATCATTCACTACTGTACCTTTTTGTCCCTAGCAGCGACCCTCCCTGACCAGTCCAGCCACCCACATCTCCCCATTTGATCTCCTTGATCTGAGGGGGAAAAAAGACTGTTTAGTTTTATCACTGGAGCTGGTGCAGTGGAGAGGGAGGACAGTGACCTCGTCACCACTGGCCAGGGACCTCCAGGGAACGTTGTGGGACCATATGGTTACTGGTGACAATGAGTGCTAGTCATGAGTAGGTTTATAGTCACATTAAGGAGCTGAAAGTCACATTTGCTTCCGTATGTAAGTGGGGAAGGTTTCATAAGTGCAGAGTGAAGAACTTAGGAGTCAGGTGAATAAGGATCTGCACACAGAGCTGTAGTGTTCTCAGCATTGTGTTTTTCAACATTTTACCTTGAAAAGTCTTGCACTTGAATTTTACTAATAATATCTGTGTGATCATGAAAGTGTATTTTTGTTGCCACAGTAACTTAGCAGTGGACAAGCTGACTAATAAGTGCAGTGCAAACACACAGTAGATCCGTTTGTCTCTCACCTGGCCTTTGTAAAATCCCTCGAAGCCATCGCTGACAGCAAACATCTTGTGGCCTTCGGTTATTCCCACTCTGACAGCAGAGCGCACGGCGGCATTCATACCTGCTGCTGGGGCGCCGACATTCAGCACCGCCACGTTAAAGGAGCTCTGTGGGTGACAGAGAAGCAGTCACGCACCGTATACTGAGAGACGAACGCTGGCACTTGTATTAATTACAGCCACATGTTATAGCAGCCCCAAGCTTTGTCACAGTTTAAAACATCTTCACAGTCAAGGTGTAAATCCTACAGTCGCAGCATGTGTGGCAGAGACTTGGTTTGAACATGATGGTACACCAGCAACCTCTAGCAGTAGTGAAGACAAACTGGACAAGGATGCATTAGAGGTGAACAGCTGCATTTTTTGCAAAACCTCAGTCGGACAGTAGTCTGTCTCCAGCGCCTCACAACACCATCCATATCTCAGTAAGTACTGAGGAGCAGGCAGGGCTTCGCCCGGGAGCAGGACCACAGCAGGCAGAAGTGATGTCACATGCAAGAAGCCACATGCTGCTAAAAGTCAGCCAAACAGCAGCTGCTTTCTCACGGTAACCACTGAAAATAAACAGCCGATGTAAACCTTCACTCCGGTCTCAAATCATCCCGAGAACTGTGCCACTAGTTGCAGAGTACAACAGGTTTTGGGATACAACCCAAAAGTGCTGTACAACAACTTTCATCCCCTAATATCAAAGTGCACATGATCCATATTGCAGCTGAAGCGTCATGCACTCAGCTATAAATTCATTTTCGTGTGCAACAGGCGTGTTGCGAATTGATGACAAACTGAGCCTTGAAGGTTTTCACTCCTGAAAATGTTTAAGTGAGACTTGTAGCTCTAAGGTCGTAACAGCTCGTAACCATCTAGTTCACCAACTGATATTAAACAGCACTGGGATACGAGGTGCCCGGCAGCACGCTGCATGCGCAATGTCAACGGATCCAGTCAGACTGCCGGCAACTGTCGCAGGTCTCCCCCCGCCAATCTGTCTCCCATGTTTGCTGTCCACCTCTCAGAGAATCACTATAAAGGTTAAAAAGCCCAAAACATAACTTTTTAAAAGGTTTGGGGATATGTAGTTTTTCCACAGTAACACCCTTAGTGTCTGCCGATTCTTCACAATGGGATCACAGCTAAATCCAGTATCATACGTTCACTGATCCCCAGTTTAGAGAGTTGCACATTTACTCCCCACATCAGTGGAGCATGTCCAGTCTGCAGTCTACGACAGCAGATCACTGTCTGTGAAAGCGAGGCTTTTACAGACAGAGCAACAGAAAATGAGCACAGACACTGCGATTTCATACCCGTTACCATGTAAACAAACGGGAGTTATGTCATCGCTGTAAAATAAAAAAAAGACCTCATGGCATGTTAAGTCCCAGTAAATCATTGGACTACATATTAGGCAAAAAGCTAAAAACCACTCATATTTTTAATTCGATGTCATCACAGCAAGGTGGACGGTGGAAGCCGAAGTGAATAAGAAGGATCAACACGAAGGTCTGAGCTAGCTGCTGTAATGAGCGGCGTGAACTACGCCCGTAGAAGCTGCAGATAAACTCGAGCCTGCTCATCACATACTGTATGTCAGACTGCTCCTCACCCCCACCTCCTCCTCTGCCTCATGACAGATGGCCACAGAAAAACAAACTCGGTTAGTGTCACAAAAAGACTGCAGCACCCACAATGCACTTGACCAGGAAGTACCTTATATGCTAAGGTATAAATCTCAGAGCCGCTGGTGAAAAAACACATCAGGAAAAATTTAAATGTTACAATTTACTGATCTGATACAATCCTTGTTTTTATGATCTGGTTGTAAGGGAAACTTACATTAGGGATCTCGGAGTCAGGTTTCCGGTTGGAGAGGAGTCTGTAGGTGTTCAGATTGTTTTCAAAGCTCCTGCAAATGACAGATACAAAAAAAGTTGACCAGCATTAAAAAAAACCACACTGACTCCATCGCTTCAGTAGAGAAAGCATTTAGAGTCTATCAGAAATCAACAAAAACACAGTTACACTGGGGCACATTGCCGAACAGATGAGAGAGCAAGCGCTAACTGGATGTTGTGGCAGAAAACACCTTGTATAACATGCAGGACTTCAGCAGAAATTGGGTCAGTGTTGCTGTATTCAGGAGTTTTGTATAACATCTGCACCTTTTAAACTTGTTTGCAGTCTTACAGTAAACTAACAGATGGTATCAAAGTAACAAAATACCTCCCACGCAGTCTGACTGCCTCTTCAAACTTCTTCTCATCCATGGCCTTCTGTACTTCTTGGGTCTGATGACAAGACATGAACCATTGTCACCATATATGCTAAAATCAGCCACATGCTCGTGTTTCCTGTTGAGACAGATTTGGTGGAGTGCTCCTGTTGTCCTGCATGTCTTGCAGCTAACTGGTGGGTGGAGTTATGCTGAACTAGAAGCACCTGGGCCCAATCAGCCCAGGCACTAAACCAACTGTTGATGGTGTTGGTGTGTAGGATTACAGTGAGGCACAGCTCAGATTTACCCTTTGCACACATTTGACTATTTTTTAAACCTTCGTGTATTGTAATACACAGAGGTGCTACATGCATCTTGTTGAAACAGTGAGTAGTTAAATGTAAAGTGAGACGTATACAGCAGCTCTCTGTCTTAAACTGTAACTGACATCCTGTTAATGGAAATGTCTGCATGTTTTGAACCCAAATTCATGTTTAATGCGGGGGTCAATCCCCACTGTTGTACAGAATGTATGCAACGTAGCACTGCGCATTAAATGTTCCTTAAGTGTCACACATTCAACATTTATTTTTGATAACAAAGTGGGATAGTAGTGAGTCCTAAAACCATTTTTATGTTTTGTACTATGACATGAAATACGTCAGCAAATACTCCACTCATGATCTTTAATGCTTTTACGTGCCTTAGAAAAGGCGGCTGCTAACAAGTGGCTAAATGAGACAACAGAGACTGTCTGGGATATTAAACGTCATCACGCCAACACAGACATGACACAGACACTCTTACCATTTGAACACACTCCATAAGTGGCAGGCGAACAGCCTGGTTGCCAACCAGGGACACAACACAGGCCGGGGTGTTGGCAGAGGCCTCCAGTAATGCCAGCACTGCCTCCACACCCATACGGCTGGCCTGCAGGAGTCAGAGGTCAAAGGTCAAACTGAAAACGGGTCAATTTTGAGCAGCAGAATGTCGGCAGTACAGTATGAGACCATGTTCTGAGGATTTTCTAGTCTTGAATCAAAGAAGATGACATTTGATTTGTCTCCCATTTCATCATCTCACATCAGTGGAATCACTTACCAGGATCCTGTCAAAGGCTGAGGGGGTCCCACCTCTCTGCACGTGGCCCAAGATGGTGACCCTGGTGTCAAAACCCAGGCA